CCCAGTGGGCGTGCGGTCCCCCGGGAGCGGCGGAGGCGCGTTGCGGCCGTCCAAGAGCGCGCGGGGGCTGCCGCCGGGTGCCGATGACCGGAAAGGGCCGGTGTGTGCGGCCCGAGACGGTTTTAAGCGTAAGTGTGTAAAGCAGGTCTGGAAAACTCCGGAAGCCCCGGAGTGACAGAGACTGCTCTGGGGAAAGCTGCGTGGTGGCCTTGTGTCAGCCGGCACTGCGCTTCATGAGGCAGAACTTGGTTCCTTATTCCTAGTTCCTTTTTCAAAGCTCATCTTTGCACAATTAAAGGCTGTTTTTTAATAACTATAAATACACAAGATAAAATGTAACTTTTTAATGAAATTCTGTGTTTTTAATAAAAATGTAAAATAATGTATTGCATACATAGCCCTGAAAAAAGACCTAAGATCAGGCTGGGATTATGTTTGTCTGCTTTTTGGGGTCACCCCAAGCCACAAGTCTGCCGGGGGAGACTCCTGATGGAGCCCCTGCAGAGTCCTGCCTGACCCAGAGCTTGGCTCTTGCTTGTCACTTTGACAACTGACAGCCCCCAGGCCTGAATAAGGAGCTGGGAATACAGGTGGAAATCCTCTTTGGGTCACCCCAGACCACATGTCTCAGCTGTCCAGGGATTCTCCCAAAGAAACCTGGACAGACTCCTTCCCCAACCTGAAGCTGAGTTTCTGCTTGACAGACTGCTGATTGACAGGCCTCAAACTTGTGTGCTGTGTACAGAACCCTGAATACAGAGCTGGTTTGGGCTGGGACTACTGGAGGAAATCCTTTATTGGGTTGCTCCAGACCACAGCTCTCTGCCACTGGGGGGCTTTCCTGAAAAAGCCTGGGCAGGCCCCTGCTCAACCCAAAGCTCATCTTTTGCATGCTAGGCTGCCTATTGACAACCCTGAATAGGGAGCTGGGGTTGGGCTGTGATTATAGGTGAAAGTCATTGGCCACGCATAGGGGGTGCATACAGATGCACATGCACCCCCTGCATAAAGGGCTGCTGCTGCTGCCAGCAGTGCCTGGGGGTGGTTGCTGCTTGCCACCCTTCCCCCCTCCCCACCACTGCAGCCACCTGTGGGAGCTCCCTGCTCACCACTGTCACCTGCAGGTGGTTGCCATGCCCCCCCCAGCCTCCAGGGGCACACAGCGTTTATGGTGAAAATCCTTTCTGGGTCACCCCAAACCATATATCTTGGCCACCAGAGGACTCTCCTGAAGAAGTCTGGGCAGGCCTCTGCCTGTCCAAAAGATCAGTTTCTGCCTGCTGGGCTGGTATATAACAAGCCCCAGGCTTGAATAAAGAGCTGGGTTTGGGCCAGGATTACAGAAGTCAGTCCTTCTCAGGTCACCTCAAAACACATGCCTCTGCCATCAAGGGAGTCTGCTGAAGACTGGGCAGAATCCTGCCTGACCCAAAGCTTGGCTTGTGAGTGGCAACCTGACAGGCCCCAGGGCAGTGTGCTCAGTATATAGTCCTGAATAAAAAGCTGAATTTGGGTTGGGATTATCAAGTAAAATCATTTTAATCCTGGCATTATTAAGTAAAATCCAAAACACACATTACTGCCACCTGGAGAGGCAGTATTAAAAAGAGACTAGATTAGTCAGGCATGATCTACCCTCTACGAACCCGTCCTGGTTTCCCCTCAGCATAATTTGTCCTGCCGGGCTCTCGCAAATGTGAGCCTTGATAATTTATTCAAAGACTTTGCCTAGGATGGAGGTGAGACTGACTGGCCTGTAGTTGCCTGGGTCCTCCTTCCTCCCCTTCTTGAAAATGGGGACCACATTGGCCCTTTTCCAGTCCTC